GGAAGGTGCTTCCTTTGTATCCTATTGGAACCCCATCTTTTCTATAACCAAAAAGAAAGAGACTTGGAATGATGACAGGTAATCAAAGGCCTTTCCAGTTTACCACACACCTGAACCAAAGAGACTCTCCTAAAGATGGTCAGAGAAGAGAGGTAAAGAAGACAAATGAACAGAGGATAGACCCGTGGGGGATTACCTTCTATTACTGCCACCAGCAATCATTCAAGGCCTGCCGGTGGTTCCCCAATACCTTCACTGCAGCCCCAGGACACCCCTCAGGAGAAAGCAGAGAACTCAACCACGTCTGAGACTGACCTGAATTCTCCAGTGCAGAACTGCCTGAAAGGGAAAGGAGTGAATGATTCAGTCACCATGGCATCATGAGTTGTGAGCGCTCCTAACCTCGGAGGGGAGGGCACAGGCATCGGCGCTAGCAAGCCCACCTACAGGCTAGTCAGATGTCCAGACACTCGGGAATACAGATTAACAACATAAATTGACACGGGAACAGTCAAGACTATTCAGAGCGATACCCAGAGGAATCAGACCTCAAGGGCAGTGAGTGGACGGACAGAGGCAGGCAGACGATTCCACAGACTGTGGCCCAGCTTCCGGTTTAGTTAATCCAGCAAAGCTGGAACATCTCCTTACCTAAAATTCTCGGCCGTCTTAGGCACAACGTCTGCAAAGAGCTCGATCTTCATGCGGCCAACTTCCTGCAACCGGCAGGAGACGGTCAGAAAGCCCAGTCCAAGCCCGTGAAGGCCTCACCGAGCAAGGAACCCTCCCTCCCACATGCCGCTTGGTCTCTCCCACTTCCGCCTCCAAAGCCTACGCTAGCTTTCCACCCAGTCCCTCCGCAAGCGGGGCGCCAAGACGGGCAAGACTCCTCCTTTTTCTCCCTTCCTCCCCAACCCCGCCCCGCAGGTCGGTAGGTTCTGGTCCAATTTCACTTTCTGGCTTTCCGAGTCCGTTACCCCTGGGGAAGGGATGAAATCTGCCTGTCAGACCCCGTGTACTTTCCCTTCGGCGGTGGGCTGGGTGGCTGCCAGGACCTCACCTGGCCGCCAATGCTGACATCAAAAAACACCACGGGATTGACAGGGCTTGAATTTGCCACCGCCATGGCTCCGACCCGGAAGCAGAAGTCCGGAGCGCGGGGTTACGGCGAACCTAGTCCCTGCTCTAAGGGTTTCGTCTCCGGCGGAGGCGCAGGAAAAGCCGACCGAGGCCAGGCCCCGCCCCCGGAAGTTCTCCGCCTCCAGCGCCAAACTGGGCGCTGCGTGGGTGGCCAGCGCCGCCTTCCGTACAGACCACCCGGACGTCAGCCAGCTGTTAGCTCACCTGACTCTCCCTGGGTGCTGAGCCGGGAGGAAAAACTCGGCATTTATTGCTCAAGGTCAACAGACATCCTACTCACTTGGCTACACAAAGTGCAGTACAAATTGTTCTCGCTCAGGCTAGGGGGCTTGGACTAGGCAGTCTTCAGGGTCCATATCAGCCTTTGAAATTGATCTATGTGAACCGTCATACGTGCGGTTTTCTACCCCTGTCCACTAGTGTGGAGCCCCACGGAAGCAAGAACTGTGTTCATCCTCAGCGCTTAGAACAGCCTGGCATATCAAGCTTGTTCCGTAAATACTCAGCACTTCCTTGAAGTCAGGACGCTAGGATTTTAATTCCAGTTCTCACACAGGCTTCCGCTTTCGTCACCTCCAAATCATATACCGCAGAGCAGCTAGAGCTTTTAAAATAAATCTGCTTATAAATCACTCCTGGTTCCCCATATTTAGCATAAAATCTAGTTTCTTACATAAAAGGCGTACCTTACATTATCTGGCCGCCACCTTCTTGGGCCTCTGGCCTTCTGTTCCTCGAGGTCATGGAGTTCCCATACTCTCTTTAGGGCCTTGGTACTAGCTGTTAACTGTCTTTAATATTCTTCTAGATCTTAATGGGGATGGGGAGTGGTCTTGTAGCTCAGGTCTCAGCTCAGATATCACTCAGGAACATTGCACCCAATCTAAAGTAGCCCTCCGTCACACTTTCAGATACATTACTGGTTTATTTTCTTCATTCACCATCCAAAATTTTATGGTTTCCCCACCTCACCTGCAGCCTCACACACATTTAACTCCATGAAAATGAAACCAAGTCCCCCTAAACCTGGTTCCTCTGCCAAGTTTATGAATAACATATTCAAACCTTTATTCCCTTTCTCATCCACCTGTTTCCATGAAGACTGAGGAGTACCAAAGAAAAGGCAGGACCGAAACTCAGCAGGACCCTGCAGGACACTCCCGTGTACAAAACCCTTTCCGTGTACCCCGTTTCTTGTTTGTAGAAAAAGGCTTCAGCCTCCCAGACCTTCCCTGAGTTACAAAGAGCAGATTCAAGCAGATACCAATTAAGGAAGTGAGGGAATGCAGAAACAACGGAAAAGCAGTCAAAAAGTTATAGTTCAATCACATTGCTGCACACCTGAAACTAACACAACTTTGTTAATCAACTACACTCCAATAAAATTTTTAAAAAATTACAGTTCAGTGATAAAACAGAGTCCTAGTTCCTTCTCATGGGATATACATAAAATCTGACACAGAAATTTTGAGTTCTGTAGGAACTAAGGCCCCCACCTAGGTGGAGGATGGTAACTACCTTCTGAGACTCCAGACTGGTGGGAACTAGAAGGTTGAGGATTGAGATTCCTGGAACACCACCCTGTTACCTCACCACCAATCGGAAGAAAGTCATACACCCTGAAGCCATCACTCCAAAAGATGCCTTTAAAAACTCTTCCCTGAAAACCACTGGGGAGTTCAGGTCTTTTGAGCAGGAGCCACCCATTCTCCTTGCTTGGCCCGTGCAATAAGCCTTCCTCTGCTCCAGATTCCAATGTTTGTTTGTCCTCATTGTGCTTCGGGCACATGCACTTGGGTTCAATGACAAAAACCGAGACTCTCCATGCCTGTCTTCACAGGTGTGCCCACTATTGAATAGCACACAGTAGGGATTCAATAAATAGATTCAGTGAATCCAGTGAATTGAATGAATTGGGTAAGGCTTAGATTCAATATCACAGCTGTTATTTTCTATATCCTTTGACCATACTTTCTAGTTCAGTGGTCTGAGGAAGCAAGGATTACACATAAAAATTCAGTGTGTCTCAACTTAAGGGGTCTTTTAAAAAATTTCTGGTTACTTTCTCTCTCCCCTTGGTCTCCCTCTCTACCTCCAATTGAAGGTGAAGAAGAAAGAGGAGGAGAATAAGGAGAGAAAGGGGCAGGAAGGGAAGGAGCAGCAGAAATCATCCTTCAGTATAGTTTTATACCAACTATTTAGAATAATTTTTAAAAAATTGATAATATCAAAAAAAATTGATAATATCCAATGTTGATGAGGTTGTGGAAAAACTAGTACACTCAAACTGCTAGTGAAAATAAATAATGATGTCTAGTATTTGTTAAGCTTTTACTAAGTGCTAAATACATGCTTCATTTCATTTGGTCCTCACAGCTCTATGGGATAGGAACTACCATTGCTCCTATTTTATGGATTAAGAAATTGAGGCTTAAAGGGTTCAACTATAGAAACCGTATGTTGACACAATCTTTTTTTAAAGTAATTCGACAAGTGACGTATCAAAACTATTAACATTTATATCTTTAGCCCAATTTTGCTGATCTTGTAAATGTGTTTTATGAGTACTCAAGAGAAGAAAAGAGCTACATCTACAAACACTTTCATCACAGCATAATCTTAAATAGTAAAAAAGTAGAAACAAAGGTCAAACAACAAGAGAATTTATAGGACATCAACATGATAGAATACCATGTGGCTTTTTAAAAAATTTATTTATTTATTTTTTTAATTTATTTTTTGCTGCACTGGGTCTTTTTTACTGCGTGTGGGCTTTCTCTAGCTGCGGCAAGCAGGGGCTACTCTTCGTTGTGGTGTGCGGGCTTCTCGTTGCGGTGTCTTCTCTTGTTGTGGAGCAGAGGCTCTAGGCACGCGGGCTTCAGTAGTTGCAGCACGCAGGCTCAGTAGTTGTGGCTCACGGGCTTGGTTGCTCCGTGGCATGTGGGATCTTCCCAGACCAGGGCTCGAACCCATGTCCCCTGCATTGGCAGGTGGATTCTTAAACACTGTGCCACCAGGGAAGCCCTACCATGTGGCTTTTGAAAGAATAATTATGAAGACTGTTGAAACATGGGAAAATGTTTTATGAAATATTAAATTTAAAATCAGACTATGAAAATGAATATACAATATGATAACCATTTAAAATGTATACATTTGAATAAGAACCAGAAAAGAATAAATGAAAATAGTTGTGTTAAGAATGTGGGCTTTATAGGTTTTTTTTTCCTCAAATATTTGCTTTAACATGATTACATTGTTTTTACTTTTAAATTAAAAAATAAATAAGAAAATACCCATGATAATAAGAATAGAAAGAATGCTGAATTAGCTGTATATGTGCTCTACTGAACAAAAACCTAATTAGGGACTTCCCTGGTGGTCCAGTGGTTAAGGCTTTGCCTTCCAGTGCAGGGGGTGTGGGTTCAATCCCCGGTTGGGGAGGTAAGAGCCCACATGCCTTGGGGCCAAAAAACTAAAACATAAAAAACAGAAGCAATATTGTAACAAATTCAATAAAGACTTTAAAAAAAATGGTCCACATCAAAAAAAAATCTTAAAAAAAACAATGGTCCACCAAAAAAAAATCTTAAAAAAAACCCCTAATTAAACCACTGAACTGAAGTCATGACATTGATCAATACAAGGCATTTGAGGATACCAAACAAACTTGAGAAATCCATTATTAGAACAGGTTTAATGAATTTATCAGCAATTTTGAAGACTCCTGGTTGACGTCCAGTGAGGATCTGTCGTAGCTCTTCTCCACGTCATGCTCCACCTTCACGCCCAAGCTTTAAGTTAGCAGCTTTGATCAGTCTAGTTCTAGACACCAGTGATTTTACAGCTCTGACTTGGCCTTATTCTTGGATGTGATGTATTTCTTTCAGAGAAGCCACGTTTATGTATCCAGCTTCAGAATTCTGTGAACACGAAAGAGACTCGAGGGACTTGGGGTTTACCATTGCTTCTTCTGACCTATGTTCTTCAGTTTCTTGAAGACTTCCAGCTGACTCTATCAAACCCGTTCCTGAAAAACTAAGAATGGCCATGTGTGAGGACTTTGTACAGACAGGATCTCTCGGCAGCACTTTGGGGTTACAGAGTTAAGGCATCAATAGAATTTCAACTTTTGCAGGATCTTAGTTCCTCCTTGGCAGTGAAAGCGTGGAGTCCTAACCACTGGACCACCAGGAAAGTCCCTGCTATGCTTTCTCAAGCCAGCAACTAGAACTAGCTAGGCAGCCATAACTCTCTGGCATGTGGATGATTGTCTTGATTATACTCACCTGGAGTTTGGTAAGGGCACAATTTTATTCAATACTTCAAATTCAGGGATGTCACTAATTGTTGGTTCCTAAAAGAAAAGAAAGGATGAATATTAAAAAAATTATAATGATAAGCCATTGGCGATACGATCCTAGAACTTATGCTTTATATATATTTTTGGTTAAAAATGTAATCCCTTCACCTTACACCTGTTAGACTAGCTATCATCAAAAAGACAAGAGATAACAAATGCTGGAGAAGATGTGGAAAAAAGGGAACTCTTGTGCACTGTTGGTGGGAATGTAAATTGGTGCAGCCACTATGGAGAACAGTATGGAGGTCCCTCAAAAAATTAAGAATAGAGCTACCATATGATCCAGCAATCCCACTTCTGGGTATATATCTGAAGGAAATGAAAACACTGTTCCAAAGGGATATCTGCACTACATGTTTATAGCAGCATTATTTACAATAGTCAAGATATGGAAGCAACTTAAGTGTCCACTGATAGACGAATAAATAAAGAATATGCATACAATAGAATACTACTCAACAAAAAACGAATTTTTTTAACAAAATAAGGAAATCCTGCCATTTGTGACAACACGGATGGAACTTGAGGTCATCAGGCTGAGTGAAATAAGTCAGACAAAGAGAAAGACAAATACTGTATGAACTCATATACACTTGGAGTTTAAAAAAAACCAAACTTATTGAAATAGAGACCAGATTTGTGGTTGTCAGGGATGGGGGAATTAGGTGAATGTGGTCAGAGGTATGAACTTCCTTTGTAAGAGAAATAAGTTCTGGGGATGTAATGTACAACATGATGATATACTTAACAGTACTGTATTGTATATATTGAAAGTAGCTAAGAGAGTAGATTTTAAAAGTTCTTGTCATGAGGAAAAAAATTGTAACTATATGAGATGATAGATGTTAACTAATCTTATTGTGATCATTTTGTAATACACATATATATCAAATCATTATATTGTACACCTTAAACTTATACAATGTTATATGTCAATTATATCAACAAAATTGGGGGGAAAACTGTAATCCCTAATACCTATAGAATATTTGGTAACTATACATGTCATACTTTCAACAACAAAAAACCAAACAACCCAATTAAAAAATGGGCAGAGGAGCTAAATAAACATTTTTTCCCAAAGAAGACATACAGATAGCCAATAGGCACATGAAAAGATGTTCAACAACACCAATTATTAGGGAAATGCAAATCAAAACCACAATGAGATATTACCTCACACCCATTAGAATGGCTGTTATCATAAAGGCAAGAAATAACAAGTGTTGGCAAGGATGTGGAAAAAAGCAAACCCTCGCAAACCCTCGTATACTTTTGGTCGGAATGTAAATTGGTGCAGCCACTATGGAGACCAGTATGGAAATTCCTAAAAAAATTAGGAACTACCACATGATCCAGTCCCACTTCTGGGTATTTACCTGAAGAATACAAAAACAGTAATTTGAAAAGCTATATGCACCCCTATGGCATTATTTATAATAGCCAAGATATGGAAACAACCTAAGGGCCCATCAAAGGATGAATGGATTAAGTAGATTATACATATATAAAAATGATATCTTGCCATCTGGGACAACATGTGTGGACCTTGAAGGTATTATGCTAAGTGAAATAAGTCAGACAGAGAAAGACAAATACCATATGATTTAACTCACATGTGGAATAATAATAATAAAAAAGAACAAACCAAACCAAACAAAAATAAACACACAGATACAGAGAACAGAGTAGTGGTTACCAGAGGGGAAGGTGGGGGAGGGTGAAATGGGCAAAAGGGGGATGGATGGATGGATGGAAACTAAACTTTTGGTGGTGAGCATGCTGTAGTATATACAGAAGTCAAGGTATAATGTTACACACGTGAAACCGATATAATGTTATAAACCAATGTTACCTCAATAAATAAAATTATTTTGAAAATAATAACTAAATGCCATACTTTTTATGTTAGTGCTTTTCACAAGCCTGCTTTTATATCCACTTTTCTACATGAATTACCTCGTATTAGCTGATATAATCATTCCATTCTATTTGACGAGCTCTTAATACTCTGGTAAACATTTTCTGTCCCTTTAAATCATAAAAAAAAAAAGTAACTGTTTTGAGCTCCATTACTTTAAGAACCAAATATTCTTTCTCAGAAAAATGTAGACCAAAACAGACCAAAGGCCTACTCACAGAGCATATAAAGACCATGTCAGAAAATGCGGGTTTTATTCTGAAGACTGTGGGAAATCCTTGCAGTGTTGAGTCATCGGCTCAGACTACATGTATTTTCTAAAGACCCCTCCGGCTATAGACTATGAGAACCATAGGACTTCAAAAGACAAAGCCTGGGAAGATGGGACAGGGGAGATGAGATGTGTTTTTCCAAGCAAATACATGATTCAGGGGAGGAAACGTCAGAGCTTTTGGGGAAACAGTGAATAGGCTAGTTTCTTTTGATCAGGTTTGTCAGAAAGGTATTTGGAATATGGAAAGTTTTTATGTGGCTTCAGTTCTGGTTTAGACATCAATAACTCCGGAAGCCTTCCCTAGCCACTCCAGACAGGTCGAGACACCACTCCCCCTGCTTCCTCAGCATTCTAGGCCTACTGCTCTTGTAGAACTTAGCGCGTGGCAGTTGCCAGTTAAATGATTCTCATTCTCACTGGGCACGAGTTCTGGGAAGACAGAGAGTATCTCTTGTTCACCATCATATTTAAACCATATGGGAAACAGCATGAGGCCTGGCACACTGTATATGGTCCATAAATATGTGTTGAATGAATAAACTTCGTCTTGTAGACAAAGGGAGTCTCTGAAACTCTTTGACGTGAAGTACCATGAAATCAAGCAGTGTTTCACAACGATGGGTCTAGTGGCATGGGCGGGGCAGATCAGAAGGGGAGGAGAGATTGAACGGAGATGAGTTAAGAAGTTGTTGCAGTGACCCAGGTGCTAAGTATCTGGGATGCAATGGGTAACAAGATGGGCAGAGTTCCTGCTCTCTTGTAGTGTATAAGCCAACTGAGAAGAAGGATGGAATTACAATACAGGCAGCAACATGGTCTATATTACAAAGGCTATGTCCCTGGTTACTCCAATGCCCCTGCAAGGGAAACAGTTGACGTGGAGTATTATGAGATAGTGGCTAAGAGCAGGGACCAGAGAGTGCTGTTTTCAGTCCTGTTTTTCTATTTATCAGCTATATGACCTTGGGCAATGATGTCACTTCACCTCTCCAGGTCTCAGATTCTTCAACTGTGTAAATGGGAATGACAGGCTTTTCACATAAGATTATTTTGTGGATTACAGGAGACAATATACATAAAATGCTTAGACCAGTCCCAGGCACATAGTAAGCACCCAACGAATGTCAACCTGTCACCACTGTAGCCCCAAGAAAGGAAGCGACCTAGGATATGTCTGATCTCAGGGATCTATATACTGATCTATTTGCATATGTGGTAATCACTGAGAATCAACAGATCTTGGAAATGTAAGCAGTAGCTATGTGGCCTTTGACATATCATTCAACTTCTCTGGGTTTTTTTCTCCCTCCTGTGTAAAATGAGAGGTTTGGATTGGAGGATGCTTAAGATTCTAAGTTTATAAACAGTTTTGGAGTTTATTCCAATAGTTGTCAAGATGTTACAACTTGGTACCTTTGTCACACGTGGGATATTGAGCTTGATATACTGTAGTTCTGACCCATGTGACATTTCTTATCTTGATTTGATGACAATATTGTGGATCTCAAAACTATTGGTCCTAAAAAATACTCCTTTAAGGCCTGTAACTCAGCACCAACAATACTATAGTATTTATTCACGTATGTGTCTGTCCTTTTCTACTAGACTGAAGGTCTCTGAAAACAGGAACTATCTTCCATATTCCTAGGACCTATCACAGTTCTTGGAATTAATAAATTTCTGTTGAGGGCTTCCCCAGTGGTGCAGTGGTTAAGAATCCGCCTGCCAATGCAGGGGACATGGGTTCGAGCAATGGTCCAGGAAGATCCCACATGCCGCAGAACAACAAAGCCCATGGGCCACAACTACTGAGCCTGTGCTCTAGAGCCCGCGAACTACAACTACTGAGCCTGTGTGCCATAACTACTGAAGCCTGCGCACCTAGAACCCGTGCTCCGCAACAAGAGAAGGCACCGCAATGAGAAGCCCGCCTGCCACAACTAGAGAAAGCCCGCGCGCAGCAGTGAAGACCCAACACAGCCAAAAATAAGTGAATAAAAATAATAAAGTTCCCATTAATAAACAAATAAATGTTTGTTGAATGAATGATTAAGTAAAAGAGTGAATGACTAGACAATTAAGAACAGTTGTAGCTCAAGCAAAGCCATAAACTATTGGAAATCAGGTCACAACATCTGGCAGTTCTACTTTTTTATTTTTTTAACATTTTTATTGGAGTATAATTGCTTTACAGTGGTGTGTTAGTTTCTGCTGTATAACAAAGTGAATCAGCTATACATACACATATATCCCCATATCTCCTCCCTCTTGCGTCTCCCTCCCACTCTCCCTATCCCACCCCTCTAGGTGGTGACAAAGCACCGAGCTGATCTCCCTGTGCTATGCAGCTGCTTCCCACTAGCTAGCTATTTTACATTTGGTAGTGTATATATGTCCATGCCAGCCTCTCATTTTGTCCCACTTACCCTTCCCCCTCCCCATGTCCTCAGGTCCATTCTCTACATCTGCGTCTTTATTCCTGTCCTGACCCTAGGTTCTTCAGAACCTTGTTTTTTTAGATTTCATCATATATATGTGTTAGCATATGGTATTTGTTTTTCTCTTTCTGACTTACTTCACTCTGTATCACAGACTCTAGGTCCATCCACCTCACTATAATTCAATTTCGTTTCCTTTTATGGCTGAGTAATATTCCATTGCATATATGTGCCACATCTTTATCCATTCATCTGTTGATAGACACTTAGGTTGCTTCCATGTCCTAGCTATTGTAAATAGAGCTGCAATGAACATTGTGGTACATGATCCTTTTTGAATTATGGTTATCTTAGGGTATATACCCAGTAGTGGGATTGCTGGGTCGTATGGTAGTTCTACTTTTAGTTTTTTAAGGAACCTCCATACTGTTCTCCATAGTGGCTGTATCAATTTACATTCCCACCAACAGTGCAAGAGGGTTCCCTTTTCTCCACACCCTCTCCAGCATTTATTGTTTGTAGATTTTTTGTTGATGGCCATTCTGACTGGTGTGATGTGATACCTCATTGTAGTTTTGATTTTCATTTCTCTAATGATTAATGATGTTGAGCATTCTTTCATGTGTTTGTTGGCAATCTATGTATCTTCTTTGGAGAAATGTCTGCTTAGGTCTTCTGCCCATTTTTGGATTGGGTTGTTTGTTTTTTTGATGTTGAGCTGCATGAGCTGCTTGTAAATTTTGGAGATTAATCCTTTGTCAGTTGCTTCATTTGCAAATATTTTCTCCCATTCTGAAGGTTGTCTTTTTGTCTTGTTTAAGGTTTCCTTTGCTGTGCAAAAGCTTTTAAGTTTCATTAGGTTCCATTTGTTTATTTTTATTTCCATTTCTCTAGGAGGTGGGTCAAAAAGGATCTTGCTATGATTTATGTCATAGAGTGTTTTGCCTATGTTTTCCTCTAAGAGTTTTATAGTGTCTGGCCTTACATTTAGGTCTTTAATCCATGTTGAGTTTATTTATTTATTTATTTATTTATTTATTTATTTATTTTGCGGTATGTGGGCCTCTCACTGTTGTGGCCTCTCCCGTTGCAGAGGCTCCGGACGCTCAGGCTCAGCAGCCATGGCTCACGGGCCCAGCCGCTCCGCGGCATGTGGGATCTTCAATAGAGAGTTCTGCCTATGTTTTCCTCTAAGAGTTTTATGGTGTCTGCCCTTACATTTAGGTCTTTGATCCATTCTGAGTTTATTTTTGTGTATGGTGTTAGGGAGTGTTCTAATTTCATTCTTTTACATGTAGCTGTCCAGTTTTCCCAGCACCACTTATTGAAGAGGCTGTCTTTTCTCCATTGTATATTCTTGCCTCCTTTATCAAAAATAAGGTGACCACATGTTTGTGGGTTTATCTCTGGGTTTTCTCTCCTGTTCCATTGATCTATATTTCTGTTTTTGTGGCAGTTCTACTTTTGATAAAATCTGCAAAACAACTCAAGAACTTGGAAATTATCACCTTTCTGAGACCAACCATGATGCTGGTCTTAACGCTCATAGCAATAGTGCCCAATAAGCAGGATCTACTGTGAAACATCCTAGGAAGAAACGCCTAGCAGGTGATACACGCCAGGGAAGAAAGCAAGCAGCCTCCATCCTGGAGTCAGAATGCAACTCTGCTTACTGAAGTCCCTCTGGCTGACAGCTCACCAGCCAGACTCTGGACCTCATGACAACAGAGACTTATTTGCTGCAGCTCTCTGGACTTGGCTACTTGCCAGCATGTTTTTTTTTGTAACATAATTGCTTTTCTCTGACTGAGATGTTCTCCTTAGGCTTGACTCCTTGCCAGACCAGACTAGCTTCACTTTACCTTTCTGAGCCTCAGATGGGCTCATCTCTCAGATGGGGCAAGAATAATACATGCTAAACAGGATAGCTGAGAAGGAGGCATCTGTGTGAGGACATTTAACATCCGTTCATTCTCAAATATTTATGGAGTACCTGTCCATAGATACAATGGCATATGAGATGCAACCCTTGCCCTCCAGGATGTCGCTGCTGAGATGATGAGATAGAGAAGTGAAAAGGTGACGACAATACAGTGTGTTAAGGAAGAAGCTAGGAGGCACACACAATTTGCTTTGGGATCACACAGGAGGAGCACGTTGAACAAAAGCTGACCCAGTGAAGAGCAGAGTTGGTCAAGAGCAATCTCAAGGCCTGCTGCCCCTGTGTGCAGCCAGCGAGCCTCTTTGCTGCAGTCCACCATGAGGCCAAGTGCAGGCTACAGCTACATGCACAAGATGAAGGAAGGTGAGAAGAGCAACCTTACCTCCCCTCTGCGGATCTGGACGCTCCTTATGATTCGCTCTAAGAGACCAACCTGCTGGATGAGCCGGAGACTGTTTTCTTGTAGCTGCTTATTTTCTTTATCCAGGAAAAGTACTCTAAGGATGGCATAAATCAGGGGCATAACTAAACATGCCTGTATCCTTCCTAAAAACTCTCCCCCATTTCCCACTAGCTCTGAGTCTTAGCCCACTGCCAGATTTTAGAACTGACTTTGCCAGAATATTTCCCACCATATTCCAAGACCAAGTGAAAAATGAATAAGCCTCTGGCTTGTACACCATCATTAAATACATACTGAGACCAGAGACACACTCCATGCAAGAATATGAAAGGCACAATTCCAGCCCTTGAGAAACTTAAGGAAGGATACGATCCCATTTAGGGGAGGGACTCTGCATCCCTTCAAACGCTGTTCATCTGGTTGCATCTGGTTCATACACAGCCATACGTTGTGTATGAACACTGTTCATACACAGCCTACATCTGGTTCTGATCTCAGTCATCCCATGCTTTTGTTTCAGTAGTAGTAGAAGTAAAAATAGTAGTAGCAGCAGCAGCAGTATTAGCAACAGCCGCAGCAATTTACCAAGTACTTCCTATCCACACGGTAAGCACTTAAAACTTTTCATGTATTAGCTCCTTTAATCCTCACAACAACCCCATAAAAGAGAAACTGTTACGAAGCCTATTTTGCAGATGAGGAAACTGAGGCTCAGGGTGGGGAAAGTAACTTGTGTAGGAAGATAAAACCAGAAAGTCATTGAGCTGGGATGCCAGCCTGCTTCTCTCTTGGTCTACACCTTGATTCCATAGGTGCCAAATGATAAACGTGAGTGTCAACACACACAAAGGGAAGGGCCCGAATGAGCAGAGCTGGGTCCTCAGGAGGCAATGTTGCCGTGAAAGAGCCTATCTGAATGCCCAGCCCACCTTCTCCATGATATTTTTCTCTTTAATTTCACAACTCTGCCACTTGTATGAACTGCTAAAAACAGCAGAATGGCAGAGAAACAGTTATCAGATAGGCCACAAACTCAGAGGACTACCTCTGGAAAGATCTCTTAGTGGAGGGAGAAACCTCTTCTTTGTGGAGCTCACAGGTGACTCAGGCAGGCACCCACCTGCTCTGGACCGAAGATATTATCGATTTATTGCCGTGGATCAATTCCTCTTGCTCTGTGAGCTGCTCCAGAAGTTTCCTCTTTTCTAGGAGCAGGATATCATTTTGGGTGGTGATCTGGTCCTGGAATGCCTTCTCCTAGGGATAATAAAGCCCCCTAATTACCCCAGAAGGAAAAATAATCACACATTTAAGAGCATCAGCCTGTTTCTAAACTCTGACAGCAAATTGCCTTGTGAACTTCTTTTCTCCTGTCTTCTAGTCTGTCTTTATCTGTTTGCTGAATTGTCAGCTAGATGGTTCTTCTATTTATCTTGGTTATTTTATGTCATGTATTTTGTTTGGACATTTACTCATTCTTTTGGGTTAACATTTAAAAATATCTGAACGCTCAACTCCCAGTAAGGTCCCAGTGCTCTCATCTGTATTCTAACTCTATAGGTATCGAGTCACTAACAAATACAACTGAATTCTCTGAATCTCCATATTGAGAAAGATTTCCATGTAACACATTTCCATCTGCTTTGTAGTTATAGTCTTTTTAAGGCAAAGGGAGGAAAATGGGAATCTAGCCACCTCAACTGACAACCAATGTCAGGGTCTCAGTTGGCTTGGCAAGTTCAGCATGTAAACCAGGTACCGAGAATATTCTTGCAGTGATGATGCTGAAATGATCTCTAGCTTGACACCATGTTTCATTATCTACCAATGTTTTCCCTGCAAGCAATAGCTAGTGAAGTTATAGCTAAAATGATAAAGGATTATATTTTGTGAAAAAACACTAACATTCTTATATTGAGTCAGCAGATATTAGTAAATATCACTGTTGGTGAGGAGTTTAGAAGCTCACAAGTGTAGAACTGCCCTTCTCACTTCACCAAGAGCCTGTCAATGGTAACAGGCAAGTGCCTTCACCTATTTGTGTTTGTTTCCACCTGCCAGGTGTGGGAGCGAGTGGGGTTGGGAGGAGAAAAACCACCTCTGGTAGATGGGTGAATCACAGGGTTAAGAGCGACAACTTTCTTTCTTTTAATAAGGTACTAATATAGATCATTCAGAAAAGACTGTCCATATATGTGGTATCTAAAAAAACCCAAGCAACAAAGAAAACCAGACTCATAGATACAGAGAACAGATTGGTGGCTGCCAGAGGTGGAGAGGGGTGGGTGAAATGGGTGAAAGCAGTCAAAAGGTACAAACTTCCAGTTATTAATAAGCCATAAAGATATAATGTACAGCATGATGACTATAGTTAGTAATACTGTATTGCATATGAGAAAGTTGAGAAGACAGTAGATCTTAAAAGTTCTCATCACAAGAAAAAAATTTGTAACTATGTGTGGTGATGGATGTTAACTAGACTTATTGTGGTGAACATTTAGCAATATATAAAAATATCAAATCATTATGTTATATACCTGAAACTAATAAAATATTATGTCAATTATAATTCAAAATGAAAGAAAGGCTGTCCATCTATTATTAAGGAATTGTAAGGAAGGAGATTACAGTATGTTTTGAAACAAACTCTTCCAGATCTTAAAGTCCTTCATCCAGGACCCTTCAATGTCTAACAATAGTCTTGCCTGCTATTATTTAAATATATTTATGATAAGGATTGAGAATAAAAGCAGCTACCCCACAAATAATGCTCTCTGCAGTTATAACTGGATTAGAAAGGAAATTGAGTGGGGCAGGCTACTGACACCCTGTCCATTGGAAATACTGTATGTTTTGGAACCAAAAAATCAGGACATCTGCTCTAATAATAGGATAAAGTATTGGGGGAAATCTGGTTTGGGTGGTCACACAGTCAGAGGACTCAGCTGGCTCACTGTATAAAGAGAAGGCTGAAGGAAGGAAGCCCCCCAAAGTGGCATTATTTTCTGGAGATTAAGTGCTTAGAAAGTGAGCCCAGCTTTTGTATGCTCGGGGATCTGGTTCACGGGCCCTAAAATAAGTAAAATCAGGAGCTCCAGGTTTGTACCACTGTGGATACATCTACTGATTAACACGCTTCTAAGAGATTTTACACTAAGAAGAAAATAACATTTATGAAAATTTATTTATGTGCCAGGTCCCACGTTATGCATTTTGTATTTTAATCCTCACAAAAACCTTGTGAGGTAGGGATTATTTCCCCATTTTACAGAGGCAGAAAATGATGCACAGGGACTCGGGCAAGGTCACAGAACTATCAAGCGGCAGGGCTAGACTTTGCGTACAAGTCTGTCCGAGGCCAACACCAACCACTCTTTCCTCACCTCTGCTTACTTGCAGTCTCCAGTTAATTTCATGGAGGCCTGTGGTTTTGGGGCAGATGTGTTAGTTTCCTAGGGCAGCTGTAACAAATTACTACAAACTGGGCAGCTTAAAACAACAAGAATTTATTTTCTCACAGTTCTGGAGGCCAGTAGGGTGTGGACAGGGGTAGTTCTGGGGGCACTGAGGGAGAATCTGTTCCATGTCTCTCTCCTAGCTGGTAGTTGCTAGCAATCCTTGGTGTTTCTTGGCTTGTGGCTTCATCACTCCGATCTCTGCCTCTATTATCACATGGCCTTCTTCTCCTGTGTCTGTCTTTGTGTGTGTCTTTTCCTCTTCTTATAACGATACTAGTCATATCGGATTTAGGGTTCACACTAAGCCGGTATGACCTCATTTTAACTGTTTATGCCTGAAAACACCTTACATCCAAATGAGGGCACATTATGAGGTTCTGGGTAGACGTGGATTTTGGGGGTACACTGGAACACAGTACAGTCAGGAAACATGCCTGCTGAAAGCAGGAGGCTGGTTTTGCCATGTAAGCCTGGAAGTGGAAGGCAGGCATCACAAGGAAGAATGGGTAATACAGAATAGGTTGATGATACTTCTGGGGGGCCCATGAACCAGGGTTGCTACTTTCTTCTGTTATACTTTCTATATTGTCTTCCTAGTTGTGGATCTGAGTCTTTAAAAGTTGGATGAATTAGTGCCAAAATAGGAGGGTACTGCAAAATCAAACAAATTTTCCTTTTTTACTACAGTTTAGAGTATCAAGAGGATTTTTTAAAACTAAAAACACAACAATGGTGACCCATCTGTTATAATCCTCAAATGTTTTCTGTGTGTAATCTAAGGATTCTTACCCTGGAGTGCTATAACAGCCCATGGAATAACTGAATTTACATCAACTGTTTTGGTATCCTTGGCACATAGTGGTGGTATGATGAAAATTTGTTGGGTGAAGAAATGAGTAATTTAAGACTGAGTACAATGTTTTCAAAATTCTGAAATGGGCTGGGGATCTCCAGAAGGAAAACATTCCTGGCCAAGTCAGTTGCTCTCCATTTTGAATGGATGTAGTTTAATGCTCTCAAGGCCATTTGTCAGTTGATCCCATTCATCTGTCCCATTTCCTTCTTACCCACATACTAGAAAGTCACACAGGGGCGACAAGACAAACAAAGAAACCAGGGATATCTAGAAAACAGCCTGAAGGCTCTAGTCAAGGACTGATAAAAGAATAGGGGTCACCTGTTTTCACTGCCATTTAAAACTGACAGAAGTGTGAGGCAAAATGAAGGCTGCATAAAGTAGGAATGAGTTATGGAGGGTGGTCTGGAAGTCTCTGCTGCAGGGTGATTAAGAAGATACTTTCGGGCTTCCCTGGTGGCGCAGTGGTTGAGCGTCTGCCTGCCGATGCAGGGGACACGGGTTCGTGCCGCGGTCCGGGAAGATCTCACATGCCGCGGAGCGGCTGGACCCGTGAGCCATGGCCGCTGAGCCTGGGCGTCCGGAGCCTGTGTTCCGCAGCGGGAGAGGCCACAGCAGTGAGAGGCCCGCGTACCGCAAAATAAATAATAAATAAATAAATAAATAAAATAAAATAAAATGGGGATAATGATAGTGCCTACTTAATAGGGTCTCTTAAATAAATAAATAAAAAAGAAGATACTCTCATTTGAAGGCAAGACACTAGTCCTAAGCAGCAGTGCAGAATATTTTCAGTGTCTAATTTGATCTAGCATCACTATGAGTCTTACACACTTTGGGGCAGGGCTTAAACAGTTACTCAAATTGAAAAAGGGTGCAAAGAAAAGAAATGGAAACCTGGGCTATGAAGAGGCCACAAACACATTAAAAAATGAGTGGGGGCTTCCCTGGTGGCGCAGTGGTTGGGAGTCCGCCTGCCGATGCAGGGGACACGGGTTCGTGCCCCGGTCTGGGAGGATCCCACATGCCGCGGAGCGGCTGGGCCCGTGAGCCATGGCCGCTGGGCCTGCGCGTCCGGAGCCCGTGCTCCGCAACGGGAGAGGCCACAACAGTGAGAGGCCCGCGTATCGCAAAAAAAAAACAAAAAAAAAACGAGTGGGCTTCCTCCAGATGACCCACACCAGCATCACCAGTGAGCTCTCCACCTTTTCCCCTCACCTTTTCCATTTGTTGCTGCAGGGCTCCAATCTCAGTTTCAAGTTGTTTGATTCTCTCATCTCGGAGTTCTACTTCATGAACTAAACGATCCTTGACTCTGCGAAGCTTGGCTTTGTGGTGGTGATGCTTCTCGTTATAGTTTCTACAAAAGCAAATTTAAATATAGGTGCACCTGAACACAGTGATAACTACTTTGCCTCCTCAGTATGCACCTTTCTTGGGTTTCCTCTTCTTGCTTTGTCAGGGCCTGGCACCACAGATGGAGACTTGTCCTGCCTCACATCTGTAGGACTTCTTGCCCCCCAAGTGGGGAGAATGGACCAAGTACAATGTCCTGAATAACACAAGATTCCATCATCCCCAACTCAGGAAACTCCTTGACTTCTGATCCCTGACATCCAACAATTCGGAATCCTGCTCCACTGATTCAGTCATTAATTTAAAATTTTCTAGTTCTTGGCTACACCCTTGGACAGTGATATAACCCACTATTTCTATCTTGTCTATTTTCCAGATAAGTGGGTTTGCTCTCAGTCCTTGCCTTGAGTCTAGACTTTTAAATGCCAATTCTATATGTCTCTGCTCAAGACCCTTACTCCGAGTCTGACATAGATTTGACTTACCACTAATAAACACATGAAAAGATGTTCAACATCATTAGCTATAAAGAAAATGCAAATCAAAATTACAATGAGATGCCACTTCACACCTAGTAGAATGGCTAAAATAAAAAAGAAAGATAATAACAAGTGCTGAGAAGGATGTGGAGAAACTGGAACACTCATACACTGCTGGTAGGAATGGCAAATGGAAAAAGCCTGGCAGTTTCTCAAATGGTTAAACGTAGAGCCATATGACCTAGCAATTCCATTCCTAGGTATATACCCAAGAGGAATGAAAACATCTGTCCACACAAAAACTTCTACACGAATGTCCATAGTAGCACTATTCACAACAGCCAAAAGGTTAAAACAACCCAAGTTTCCATCAACTGATGAATCAATAAACAAAATATGGAGTATCTGTTCAATGGAACATTATTCCACCACAGAAAGGAATAAAGTACTGGTACATGCTACAACATGAAATGAACTTTGAAAGCACTATGCTAAGTGAATGAAGCCAGTCACAAAGGACCACATATTTTACAATTCTATTCAGTTGCAATGTCCAGAAGAGACAAATATAGAGTGAAAGAAAGTAGGTTAGTGATTGCCTGGGGCTGGGGGGGTATAGCTAAAGAGTTTCTTTTTGGGGTAATGAAATGTTCTAAAATCGATTGTGGCGATGGATGTACAACTAAAAGCCTCTGATTTGTACATTTTCCATGGGTGAATTGTATGGTATGTGAATTATATCTCAATAAACCTGCTATTAAAAAAAAAGACAACAAAAATCTGAGTTACCATTTCAAGCTACTACAACAGCTCATCCTGAGTAAATAAGAAAAAGATTAAAGCCTGCATACCACCACTAGGCAAACTGCTCTGAAGATGATTGTGCTTTCCAAATAAGAATATTGTTACTCAGAAAGTGCTTCAAATTAAAAATTAAGAACTTTCACTTTGAAACTAAGGCAGGAAATAGATGGGCTCCAGGGTAGCCATTTACAACTGGCCTCCTGTTCACATTTCTTGGGGGGAGAAAAAGGTAGGCTTCCGGCCGGACACTTACAAGTAACTAGCCTTCTGTCTGCATTTCCTGAGACAGGAGATAGGTGGGCTCCAGGTTAGGCATTTACAGCCAGCCTCCTGTTTGCTCTCTGAAATGGAAGTAACAGCAGAAACGGGGTAAACAGCCAGGCTTTGTCTCCTGTGGATGCCTTAAGATAACAGTCATGGCAGGGACAGAGAGGGGCTAAACCCCATTTGAGGAAAAGAACAAGAGGTCATACATTTCCCATCCTTGGGGCAAGGGAGACACTACATGTGTGCAGAAAGCCTCCTTGGGGGGTCAAAAAGGAGGGGGCACCATCCGATAATATGTGATGTTAAGGCGGCCCATAGGCCTCTGGGCTGGAATCCATCTTGGAAAAAAGTTGCGCACGCATGTTGGGAAGGGTGCTAGGGCAGGTCAGGTGTGGAAAAGAAACCAGGTAATTGGCCAAAGGTAAATAAAGACCCGGGAGAACTGCCCTATGTAAATGATTTAACCGCTTCTTTACTGCACTCCTCATTAGGGGGGATGCCCACACCCTTTCTCTCCGGGTGTGCATCTCTGCCTTGCTTCTATCTTAAAGAAACAAACTGTTTCTCTGTGTGCTCTCCCAACTTGCTGTTGTGGTATGTCTCTAATAATAAACTTTGTATCTGTTTTTACAGTTTTTGCTTCCGTGAGAAATGCATTTTTCACTGGGGGCAAGAGCCAGGGGGTCTGGTGGCTTGGATTTTTGGTTTTCATACAGGCTACCCAGGTTCAATTCCTGGGCAGGGAACTAAGATCTAGCTTCGCGCCACCGCTCACTGCTGCCTCTCCGAGATCAAACCTAAGAGGTCTAATAACACAAAATCACTCTGAACCAGGAATTCTGTACTACTGACATTTGGGGCCAGATAATTCTTTATTGTAGAGAGCTGACCTGTACTTTGAAGAATGCTTAGCGGCATCCTTGGCCTCCACTCACCTTCTACAGTGTGACAACCCGAAAAGTCTCCAGACATTGCCAAGTGTCTCCTTGCCCTGGAAGGCAAACTATCCCCTACTGAAAACCATTGCTCTAGCTAATGTTCCTAAACTAGGTTTGCTCTAAGCCGATAGCAATGGTTCTCAAACTGTGTTCTGACCAGCAACACCATCATCACCTGGCAACTTGTTAGAGATGCAAAGTCTCAGGCTCTATCCCAGAATTACAGAATAAGAAAGTCTGGAGGAGGATCTGTGTTTTACTAGGTCCTCCAGGGGGTTCTGATGCAGGCTAAAGTTTGGGAGAAACCCTTGGGGGACCTCCTCACTACTTCTGTTTCATTGTAAACAGACTACTTGTGGCAGGCTGTAAGGGCAGAATGGCCTTTCTTCATTCCTGTTAAAACATCATTTAGGTATCCATAAGGATCCCTCGATCTCAAGGAAGGTGGGTGGGCCCCACATGTGTGCAGGGTGGGTTGGGGTGGGGATTGGGTGTGTGAGACAGGTAAGTCCTGCTGGGCATTTCAGGAAAAGCTGAGAATTTGAGCAAAGGTCTCTCTCTTCTCTGGCTGCCCTCCTGCCGAGGCTGTTACCTGCAGCTACAGTCGCTGCCTTGTAACCATGAGGTGTGAAGCCTAAGGACAAAGCCATCAGCCCGCCAAGCATGGCAGAGGAGGAGGGGAAGAGCCTGTCCTTAAGGATGCTACTGAGCAGCTGAATCAATCTCCATAATCATCGTCCTCCAGATTTCTTGTTATATAAGAAAAAAAAAGTTTGTTTAAATATATTAGTCAGGTTTTTTTGTTATCTGTGGTCAATTACATCCTGATATCTTAAAAACAGAAACACTAAACAAACAAAACAGTATTCTAATGCTCTCTCTAGCCTCTGATTTCCCTGAATGCCTAGAGATTTGAATAATGCCTTTTTAACTGAAAGGAAAAGTGTTTAAGGAATGAAGCATCTGCTCTCTGTCAGTGTAGGCACGGGAGGGCACAGTCATTCAGGCCTATGATGCTGGGCGGTTTGCCTATGTCAACTGTCTGGGGCTCTGACACTCAAACTGGAGGAAGTCCTAACTAGGTGAAGGGAACTAACGTGTGCTCCAGGTTTTTCACAAGACACCTCGCGTGCTTTTAAAGCAAACTTGTGAAGGTGATGTCCTCACTCTATGACCCAGGAGATAGATGCTGTGCAGTAAACTCAGTGGGCCTGGGTTTCCAGTCTTTGACTGGCTCCTGGGAGACAACCTCTAAGCCCTTGGAATATCCTGCCTGATAATAATGTCTCCGTATACCGGTGGCTTTGGGCCACACCAGATATTTTATGCTAACAAAATGATTCATGGTGAATGCATTTTTGTTCACCTTGGTCCTGGGCCATGCTGGATCAGTTTGACTATTCAGGGTTTGGAGAACTGGAGACTAAGTAGTTAAGGTCAATCCCAGGAGCTCTCTGTCCTCCTGACTAATCCCCGATTAAATCCCTGGATGTCAAGGCTCAGGTGAGTTTTTCTGGCTGGGAATGCTTCATATATATTGCCACACAACGTCGCTGGGAGAATTAAGCACTGCCCGTACTACTCCACTGGGAGAGGACAATGGGAAGCTTGCTTGCATCTTGTCTCTCCTGGACTCTTGCTGCATGCTTTTTTCCTTTGCTGATTTTAATCTGTATCCTTTCACTGTAATAAACCATAACCATGAGTGTAAAACCTTTCCTAAGATCTGTAAGTCCTAATGAATCTCCAGACCTGAGGATGGTCTTGAAGACTCCTGACACAGAGGGAAGTTATTTTTACGGAGAAGAATCTGATTCCAGAGCCTGTGATCTCCCACTATGCCCCAGTTCTATAATACCAGCAAAGCCAGGCAAACTGGATATTGTCAATTTCTCTTGACGAGATATTTTGTTTTACATAAAAACAAGGAACCAGATGGGAGGGGAAGAGCAAAGCAGACTTATTTAGATACTAATTCTAGTCAAACTATGATGGAATAGCTACTCCAAGAGAGTCTTATGTTTTTGTAAGTTATATCTTACCTCTAAATGTGTTTTTGCAAGACTCTTCCATTTTCCAAAGTAGTTCCCCTCTCTCTCCTACTTGCTGATTGCAAATAAAAGAATCACTTTGTAGGGACTTCCCTGGTGGCGCAGTGGTTGAGAGTCTGCCTGTCAATGCAGGGGACACGGGTTTGATCCCTGGTCCAGGAAGATCCCACATGCCGCGGAGCAACTAAGCCCATGTGCCACAACTACTGAGCCTGCTCTCTAGAGCCCACAAGCCACAACTACTGAAGCCTGCGTGCCTAGAGCCTGTGCTCTGCAACAAGAGAAGCCAATGCAATGAGAAGCCCGCGCACCGCAACAAGGAGTAGCCCCCGCTTGCTGCAACTAGAGAAAAAGCCCGCGCACAGCAACCAAGACCCAATGCAGCCAAAAAAATTAAATTAAAATTTTAAAAAAAGAATCATTTTGTATATTGTTCCCTTAGAAGATTAATCTAGCTGTTAGCCAGATGCCAAGTGGAGAAGTTTGAATTCTGGTAGGCCAGAGACATGCATACCAGGCCTTGTCACCAGATTGTCAGTGCGTGTGGCAGTGACTGACTGTGGGGATTGTCCCCAATCCACTTTCTCCTTCTTCTGTCATTTTAGAGCCCTGGATTTAGCTTGGCACTTGGTTGCTCAAATAGGAACTGTATTTTCTGGCTTTCCTTGCAGTTAGATGAGGCTATGGGAATAAGTTCTGGCCAACAGCCGGAGTGGAAATAGTGTGCCGTCCAGGAGAATGGAATGCCCTTGCTGTCTCCTCTTTCTCCCTTCTTGTTGGAAGAAATGTGGATATGGTAGTGAACCACCTGAACTATGTGGCTAAGTGCTAAAGATGCTGGAGCAACAACAAGGAAGGAGTCTAGACTTCGGAAACATGGAGTTACCATATCCATCCTGCACTTTTAGGTAAGAGAGAAAACCCTCCCTTTATAAAGACATTCTTATTCAGTGTCTCTGCTGCAGCAACTCAACCTACATCCTAATTAATGGAGTTGCTCTAGATACCTGGGTTCATAAAACTGCCTTAGACCTGTTCAGTTCTGTGGCCCTTGCAGCACCCACTGCATAATATGAGGTGCCTATTCTTGAAGATTGTGACTTATGTTATTTACAGGGAGATATTTCTATCTCATAAATGTTCTCATTTTCCCTTATACTAGGAAGAGCTTGGCAAAAGATATCACCGGGTTTCAGCATCCTCTGGTCCATAGCTTCAGAGGCTTAACACTATCTAACAGTACACCTGTTGTTCTCTGAGTTTCCCAGCTGTTCACAGTTCCTCTGATTTTTGACATCATTTGAAACACAACATGTATTTCTGGAATTGCTTTTACCCTTTCTGCCCTGGGATATTAAAACCCACATCTGCAGCTTCCATGCCAGACAGCTTCTGTCTCTCTTATCCTGCCATTTGGACTATTAAAATATTAATTTATTTTTTAAAGATTATAGACAATTTGGGGAAAAAACCCAACTTCCATATGATCAGTATTATAATATTGTATTTCCTTCCAGTCTTTTTATAAGCATCTTTTTTTAAAACACTGTCTACATTAAAATTATCTTATTCTCTTTTCATTTACTGTATCATAGCATTTTCCCATGCTGTTATCTAGTCTTCATGGCCACCATCTTTTGCAGCTGTATTATGTTCCATCAAGTGAATGTATTATACTTGACCTAACTGGCTTCTATGCTTGATATTCAGGCTTCTTTCAGTAGTGCTACATGGTGTGAAGAGTATGTGGATACAGTACAGCTGGGGAGAGCTTAGAGCCTTCCCTTCCACAGCAGGCTGGTTATTTGACACACCTATTAGTTTAGCCAGAAGTTCTGTTGGCCAACTTGCCCGAAGAACATGCGGATTTTCTAAGTTTATGTTTGGCTTTGTTAATTTGTACAATAAGACATCACAATACTCATGTTCTAAAATTTAAGGACGACTTTTGCTTATGTTTATATAAAACCAGATGGTCTTTCATTTATTTTTATTTCAAAAAGGCAAGGACTTTGTTCCTCTGGAAGAGTAGCTGGGAAAACACGGAAAAAAATAAGCATTGTTTGTAAAGGTCAGGAGTGGGATCAGGGGAATGAAAACAAAAATGAACCTAGAGTTTTGACAATCCCTTCCATTTTCTTTCCTAAAGTTGTAGTTTTCAACCCTAGGTGCCCATCAGAATCACATGGGGATGATTTTAGAAAAGTATTGATCCCTAAGCCCTACCCTCACAGGTTCTGATTTAATTAATCTATGTTGTGGCCCATGCATGTGCAGCTAGGGTTAGCATCCACTGTCCTAAAGGGTATAGACAAATAATATGGTAAGCTATTCAGCCTCACTAGCCATCAAAGAAATGTCTATAAATGAGCATTAAAAATCATAGAATAAGTTGAGCAAAAGAAGTCAGACACAGGACTTCCCTGGTTGCGCAGTGGTTAAGAATCTGCCTGCCAATGCAGGGGACACGGGTTTGAGCCCTGGTCCGGGAAGATCCCACATGCCGTTGAGCAACTAAGCTCACGAGCCACAACTATTGAGCCTGCGCTCTAGAGCCTGTGAGCCACAACTACTGAGCCTGCGTGCCACAACTACTGAAGCCCTCGCGCCTAGAGCTCGTGTTCCTCAACAAGAGAAGCCACTGTAATGAGAAGCCCACGCACTGCAACAAAGAGTAGCCCCTGCTCACCACAGCTAGAGAAAACCCACGTGCAGCAACGAAGACCCAACACAACCAAAAATAAATAAATAAATAAATTTATTTAAAAAATAAAGTGAGACACAAAAGATTACACGCAGTATAATTCCATTTTGATGAAATTCTAAGAGAAGCAGAAATCAGAAGAGTGGATGCCTGGGAGGAGGTGGAGGAGCAAGAGATACAGACTGACGGCAGAAAGGTAGGAGAGAAATTCAAGGGATAATGGAAATGTTCTGTATCTTGATTGGGCTAGTGGTTACATGGGCATATACATTTGTCAAAACTCATCAAACTGTACATTTAAAATCTGTGTATATGTAAATTATACCTCAATTAAAAGAAAGAACACTGGGGAAAATTTCATCAGAGCCCTCCCCCACCAAAAGTAGCACCCAATGCAAATTCGGATGTGGTGAAATTGCTACTCATATAACTGACGGCAGAAAATTTTGGTAGAATGCTTCTGAATGTTTTTTGTTTGTTGGCTTGTTTTGCGGTACACAGGCCTCTCACTGTTGTGGTCTCTCCTGCTGCAGAGCACAGGCTCCAGACGCGCAGGCTCAGCGGCCATGGCTCACGGGCCCAGCTGATCCGTGGCAGGTGGGATCCTCTCGGCCGGAGGCACGAACCCGTGTCCCCTGCATCGGCAGGCGGAGTCTCAACCACTGTGCCACCAGGGAAGCCCTCTCCTGAATGTTTGATAATACATTTTATGATCCATAGCTCCAGCTTTTGGACTAGTAATTCCACACCTAGGAATTTACTCTATAAAAATAATTTTTAAAATGAAAAATATATGTACAAAAATGGTTTTTTATGTGTTACTTTGAAAAAAACCATCAATCACAGGACCAGTGGGTAATTCTAACTAAATCTGGGCTATGTTGTGAGGGTTGATTCCAGCAGGCCTAGAATTAACCTGAGCTGTTTTGCTAAAGTTCTTGCTTGGCGCTGACCACTGGTCAAGGAATGAAATACACTGATTAAAACAGTATTGCTGGGATTCCCTGGTGGCGCAGTGGTTGAGAGTCCGCCTGCCGATGCAGGGGACACGGGTTCGTGCCCCGGTCTGGGAAGATCCCACATGCCGCGGAGCGGCTGGGCCCGTGAGCCATGGCCGCTGAGCCTGCGCATCCGGAGCCTGTGCTCTGCAACGGGAGAGGCCACAACAGTGAGAGGCCCGCGTACCGCAAAAAACAAACAAAAAAAACCCAGTGTTGCTTTTCCACCACAGGTCTGGAGTTTCAGAAAATGGTTTTTAAATCATTATCATAACTACCATCAACACAGTAGGTGAGTGAGAACATAAGAGAATAAGAAACTTCAACCTATAGAAAGAATAGAGTAGAGGGGTGCAGAGCTAGGAGCAGAGAGGTGGGTCATGGGGAAAAACTAAAAATAAGTAGATATAATAATAATAACAGCTGTGGGCTAGACACTGTTCTAAGTAAACGCTTGACATATATTCATTCAGTTAACACTCATAGCAACTTTATGCCATAGAAATGGCTATTTTGTCCATATTAAAGATGAGATACCTCAGGCACAGAGAGGTTATTTAACTTGCCCAAGGTCACAGCTAGTTCTCAGTAGAACCAGTAATTATACCCAAGCAATATGGCTCCAGAGTCCATACTCTGAACTACTAAGCTACACTTCAGAGAGGAGGAGAGCAGGAGGAATCTGGTAGGATGATGACCAGGGAATGGAAGAAAGAGCAGGTAGTTTGCGAACATAAATTCTTATTGAGCACCTGTTATATACCAGGGACTGTGGATAAAAGGATGAGTAAGACCATGGCCCATGTCCTTTAAAACCTACAGTCTGGTGAGGAAGACAGGTCACGTTATTTCAAAACAACATGGCAAGTTCTTAAATAATTACAGAGAGCCATGTACAAAGGGCTACAGGAACACAAAGAGTGACACACCTCACTCAACCCAGGCCGGAGGTGTCGAGAAAGGCTTCTTGAGGAGGTGACTCCTAGGTTGAGAATGAAGAGTTGACATAGGGAGAGCGTGGTCCAGACCGAGGAGAGCACGCAAGGGAAAAAGAAGGCTGAAGGCAAGTGAGGGGGTATATTTGGGGAAGAGCAAGATGTTAGATACCACTAGAGCTCAATAAACAGTAATTCCCTTCCCCCTCCCTCTCTTGGGAAGAAATGAGGCCCCACATCTCCCTAGGAAAAGCCCTATAGATAGAACTTTTGGGAATGAAGGAAAACGGTCTTGGCGTTCTTGAAAGGTCACTTCTGCCAGCATCCCCTGCTCTGGCTCCCTAAGGAGTAGCTCAGTCTTCTAAAGGGAACTTGTTTTTGTTTACCTCACATGGACATCAAGCTGCTTCAAAAATTGCCCATACTCTTCACGTAGAGCTTCCTTCTCCTGCTGCAACCCAGACAGCTTCTCTGACAATTCCTGGTTGCTCTTGAGATACTGAAAAACATTTTAAAAAATGGGAATACTCTGCTGAATACAGGTTTGATGTTGACGAAATGGAAACTGGCAACGCCTTTCTGCTGAAAGAGGCGTATGGAAACCAGAGTAGTTTCCTGTGATTTCGCACTTCCAGAATTCCTGGAAGCCGATAGGTCTTTTCCTTGACTTTTGTTCCCCCAACCTTTCCAGGAGATTTGTGAGCATTTAATTCCACATATAGAAAGTCTTCCAGCTTGAAGTAGAGTGAAAGCTGTTTTCCTGACCTATAACCCTGACTAATAAAGTATTTGGTTCTACAGGTGGCTCCAGGGAGTCTGGACTTAGTGTCTGAGCTGGTCGGATTTGAAGGCAGTTTAATCTTGTCACTAATACTAGCAATCCATGACAAAAAAGTCGATTAAATTATAATGTAGTTGCCTCTGGTGAAGTGCTCTGGCAGACCACAGGACTGCTACAAAGTTACAGAGGCACTGACAACTCCAAAGAGTGTGGGGTGGCGAGCCACACCTGACCATGTTAATGAGCCGAAGAGGAGAAAATGTCCAGCTTGGGATTTAATTATTGGAACAAGGCATACTCAGAGACCCGGAGCACATCCTTCATGTAGGCAGCAGGTCAATATATCCAAAACCCAAATTTCATCAAGTAGGTGGCAGAATTGCAGCATAAGTTGATTTCGTAGACTTGCCACATCTCTTATGTGAAAAATAGAGCTTCATTTGGAAATACATGCAAATCTGAGAATTGGGAATGAGAACATCTGAAAGGATTCCAATAACTTTGAGCACCTTGGACCTAGAAATCCTACTGAGCCCCCCTTAGCAGCATAAGCAGTCCTGCTGTCTCAGATTAACCACCCTTGCATCGAGGACTCTACTGACTCCACCTGAGGCAGCTACCTGTGCAAGGATACCTATTATTCTTAACACCCACCCTATACCACTACCGCTTCTCTTTGCCTCCAATCCTACCACTAGAGTCAGATCCCAGCCCATCCTGGGGAGAGGGGGTTGAGTATAGGGACTGACCTAGGAGGACTGTCATATTGAAAGAATGGAAAGATTCTGCCAAATTAAATTGGCAGAAACCTGAGGAATACAGGTAGGACTGTATTCGTAGGGCTTTATACTAGGGAGAAAGGAATATAATGTTGAATAGGCTGAATTTATTGACATGGATGCGCTTACCAGAGATTCAGGATTTAATGTGTTGATTTTAATGTCTAACGTGACTTTAATAGTTCGCTTGCTTGGTGGACTGAAACTTGGACCCAACAGTGGTATAAGAGAGGAAAGAAGCCAAAGTCTTAAGTAGATCGGAAGTTTGGAGTAGATGTGTCATGGGCGACCTGCTCACCAAGTCATCACTATGACCCGCAAGTCACTCAGAAGACACTCCTTTCCCCGAGGCTTTGCCAAATACACTGGTGAGGGGAGCTCCAGATTCCTCAAAATGCTCTCCTACTGAGGATGATGATGGGAGATGCCAACACTGAAGCCCTGATTTTAGTGGGGATGATGGTACTGCAGCGTGTCGGAGATCAAGTGGCAATGTTTAACCCCCTGATACAAGGTGGGCATTATTACTCTTATTAGATAATAGGGCCAGAGATTTAACCAAATGGTTTGACTCGTAGCGATCTTTGGTTGTAGTTAATTGCTCACAGTGATTACAGGACTAAAATAGATGAACAGCCTATTAAAGTTTTAATTGAGTTGTATTTTTAAATAAATGAATAAATATATAAATGCACCTGGGTCTGGTGAACAGAGGCCCAATTTGAATGACAATAGTGGAGAGTAATGGCCTCTTACTCAATCCCCAGACTTGAGTCAGTTCAGACCCAGGGTCCTTTTGCTAGGTTGGCTTCAGGAAGAACCTTGTGTGTGACGCTGCCACAAGCATGTGATCTTCTCCCAAGCCTTCCCCAAAGAGGCCTGTGGCCTTTTACCCAGGTGACTGGGCATTGGAGAAAGGGAACTATCTAGACTTTGGGGGAATTACATACAGTAAAGTGGTTCTCAGTCAACGCTAATACCTTGGAACCCAAAATGAGACTGAGGTTCACAATTCAGAGTGGGGGCTTAAGGAAGTAAGGTGGAAAATGGAGTTTGAACACACAGAGTGTCTTAGAGTAGGTCTGCAGTGATTCATTGGCTCAGTGTAGGTTTCATGATGGGCCTAGTGGGTTTGTGAATCTCCTCAGTGATTTCTCCCCAATTCTTTTTTTTTCTTTTTTGCAGTACGTGGGCCTCTCACTGTTGTGGCCTATCCCGTTGCGGAGCACAGGCTCCGGACGCACAAGCTCAGCGGCCATGGCTCACGGGCCCAGCCGCTCCGCGGCATGTGGGATCTTCCTGAACCAGGGCACGAGTCCGTGTCCCCTGCATCGGCAGGCAGACTCTCAACCACTGCACCACCAGGGAAGCCCTCTCCCCAATTCTTGAGTGTATAGTCAAACTAGACAATCTGGAATAGAAGATTCTCTTTGTTGGCTTTCTGACCTGAGGCGTGAGGGCTACTGATGGTAGAAAAGGCCAAGTGCTTGGAATGCCTCTTCAGAGTCTAGAATCAACTTATACCACCTTTGCCTTCAACCCATTTATCAAGCAACCTTCAAGGCCATATGGTTTTAGTGGTGCCCAAAGCAAGACAAAGATCTGTGCTGTGACAGGCTGTGGTGCAAACTGCTTTGCCACTTGGGCTTTTTGACCCAGCAGACCCAAAGTTGCTCCAAGTTTCCATGGCAGCTGAGGAAGCAATATAGAGCCTCTGGAAAACTGTAGTTTAATGTTATGACTTGGGAGGAAAGTCATCTCTCCTCCCATAATATCTCTTTGCCTTTTGAGAAAGGTCCTTGCTTGTGACTGGCCCTGGTGGAGACTGAATGGTTGGCCGTATCGAGTAACCTGAGCTGTCCTTCCTGAAATGAGGTGTTCTATTATTCACTGAGCATCGAGCTGGGCATGTGCAGTAGTACTCCATCCTCAAACAGAATTGCTATGTAAAATACTGAGCCCGAGCAGGTCCTTAAGGTTCCAAGCTGCATTAGCAAGTGGTACTTACTTCTATTGCATCACCACCTCTCTCAACCCAAACCTATGGCCTAATGGGGAGTTCTCTATGACCAGTTAGCCAAAGAAGAATAAATTCAGGCCTGATGTTCATATGATTCTGTACAATATGCAGCAACCACTATGCTGGGACGAAGTGAGAGAGTAGCATTGACATATATACACTACCAAACGTAAAATGGATATGCAGTTGGGAAGCAACTGCATAGCACAGGGAGATCAGCTGAGTGCTTTGTGACCATCTAGAGGGGTGGGATAAGGAGGGTGGGAGGGAGATGCAAAAGGGAGGGGATATGGGGATATATGTATATGTATATAGCTGATTCACTTTGTTATACAGCAGAAATGAACACAACATTGTAAAGCAATTATACTCCAATAAAGATGTTAAAAAAAAAAAGTAGGGCTGCTGTGGCATACAGCCTCAACTGAGGGGTAGCCCTTAAGACCAGAGGGAAGGGAAGTCTCAGTGGGCAAAGCTTGTGTTCACTTTGCCTGGAAAGGGAGATGTCCAGAGGCATGGACCTATGCTAATTTATAGAAAGTTTCTAATAGTTTGGCCAGATGATCAGGGATTTGGAAAGAATAATATTGGAGGACTGATGAAAAAGAGGCCTGGAAAAGGGGCCTGGACTAGAAATGCTGTCCAATCGGTGGGAATGTTCTATGTCTGCACTCTCCAACATGGTGGTCCTGTGGCTACTGAGCACATGAAACGTGCCTAGTGTGTCTGAGGAACTGAATTTTTAATTTTATGTAATTTTAATTAACTTAGACAGCCACATGTGGCTAGGTGACACAATATTAGACAGCACAGGCCTAGAGTGTGAACATATATGTGTTACATGTGTTTCTGCTCAGCAGAGGGCTTCCACAGAAGAGGTGGCTCTCAATAATCAGGTGGAAAAAATAGTACATTCTGGATGTCACTTAGCCTCTTTTTCTATCCTCTGTTTGCTCACTCAGTGGGCTCACGTACAAAGTGCACGGGGGCAGGAATATATTTTATAAGGAGTCACCAAGGCTAATCCACTCAACTTGCTAAAAGCACAGATCAATGTTGAGCAACTCTTATGGCACCATCCCCTGGGGGGCCAGGCAGTCACCTGGTAGTAGGCTTATTATGCTGGACCCCTTCCACCATGCAGAGGACAACAATTTGTCCTCAGTGAAAGAGACACTCATTTTATTTTTGTTCTTTTCATTAATTTTTATTGGAGTAGAGTTGATTTACAATGTTGTTAGTTTCTTGCTGTACAACAAAGTGATTCAGTCATACGTACATATATATCCACTCTTTTTTAGATTTCCTTCCCATTTAGGTCACCACAGAGCACTGAGTAGAGTTTCCTGTGCTATAGAGTAGGTTCTCGTTAGTTATCTATTTTATACATAGTAAGGAAACACCCATTTTACATATGGATTTGCTTTCTCTGTCCACAATGCTTTTGCCAGGACCACCATCTGTGGACTTACCAAATTCTTTATTTCTTGTCATGATATACTACCACCCAACATGGCTTCTGATCAAGAAAATCATTTTACAGTAAGAAAAGTGAAAGAAAAGCTCATATATATGAGAGTCATTGGTCTCACCCTATATCCCACTATCCAGTAAAAACACCAACCTGCAAAACATTGGAAAGACCTATGGAAGATGTAGTTATCATGCTGGCTAGGTGAAAACATCTTTTGAGGTTCAGTGATGTCTGATAAGATGATGTCTAAACTTTTAACCATTGATTGATATATGATGTTGTTTCTCTTAGAGCCAGAATATGGGAAAGAAACCAAGAGCTGGAATGGGAGTGGCTTTTCAAACCTATACCTTATTTGCAAAACATGTGTTATTGTATTATTGGTAGTTAACTTATAATTAACTTTTAAAGTTAGTATATCCATGTGGATTGAGATTGAAGAAGC